AGCTCCCTTGATATAGGAGTGTCTCCGAGTTCAAGCACAGCAATTTAATATCTGATTTATGTTCAACCGGGCTTATAAACCAGTGTTGTTTCTCCTCCTTTCAGTTCCTTTACGTATAGGCACGTGCTCTCATCTGAGTGGAGAGAGCTTCCCCAGGCCCATTTCTGGCCTCGTTGAGGGGCTTTACCCCAAATCTTCTGTATCTATCTTGGGGGCTTAGGTGGCCCGCGTTCCTGTAGCATCCGACACCCCAGGTGTTAGCCACGTTGCACCAAGACATGGCTAATACCCAGGGTGTCGGATGTGCGTTTCTCTCTGGTTCTTAAAACCTTGGGATCTGTTGCGCGTGCTTTCTTTGCCCACATCTACTCCAAATCCATCCCGGGAGTATATGACTTCAGGAGCAAAGGGACGGGGGCAGGGGGAGATGGGGGGCTCTGTTACCCCTTTGGATACCCTCCGTTACCCCCTTGCTGCACTTCAGAGCCACTTTGGACTCTGTGCTCCCAGGGTGTTTGGGGACGAGGCATGGCTTTGACTGGGAAGGATGTCAGACAGATGGTTCCTGTGGGTGGCAAAGTGCCTTTTTATTAACTGGACTTCAGCACAGAGGGAAATCTCCAGGAGAAGGAGCTGACGCTGCCTCTGACGCGCTGTCCGCGCCGGCCCCTCTCAGCTGCTGCATTGCTGCTCAGCGTGAACGCGCATGCGGGAGCCGGCGATGACTGCGGCGCTGTCCTCTCCGTCCTGTTGAGGCTGGATCGGGGCTGCGTCTTAGCAAGGGCCATCTGCTTGGCTGAAAGACACCAATAAATGTGCCATTAACTTTCAGGAGACAGATAAATCAGAGGCTTTGTGGAGAACGCGCAAGCCCACACTCCACTGCCTTCCCGTCGGCTTGGGGATGTGCGTGTATCTGTATAGTGCTGTATAGACACAACCCTCCAGAGGACAGCAAATTTGCCCCAGGGCTGTGCTTGCTATGACACCCTTTCAAACATGCATTCATTTCTCCCTGCACCTGCTGTATGCATGTCGCCACGGCGGTTCTTGCTGGGACTGTCATGTAGTGCGTATGCACCCCAGCCAGCTTCAGACTCGCTACCGTACACGATAGAAGCTCATTTATCCTGCTTCCTGGGCAGGTATTGCTGTCTGCAGTAGGCACCGTGCTGCTGCAACTCCTCTGCTACCAGCACCCAAGGTAGCTGGCTGAAAATGAGCTTGGGTATCTGTGCTACACTGACGTTGCCTCTGTGACTGCAGTGTAGACATACTGTGAGGCTTATGTGCTGTCTGTGGGGATGTCTAGAGCAGCATGCCTTAGCATTTCTGGGCAGCTTCACTTAGCCATAACTGTAGCAGTGAAGTTGCAAAGACATGGGTTTTAGCAACTCGCGTCCCAGTATGTCCCAGTAGAGCTGGTGCGCACGTTGCTGGCAATGCTGGAGCCTTTTGCCATGCCAGGTAGATGAAACGCTGCATGCTACCATCGCAGCTTTGTTGGCTCTGCTGGGCGGTAGTCTTGGCTGTCCTCGCTGCTCCCCTCCCCTGTGCAGCCTTGCACCTCTGGGGTCTTCCTGGTGGACGGCAGTGCCCATGCTCCATTGGGGCTCGCAGCCCTGTGGAGAAGGGGGTTGCTTGCCTTGTGCATCCCTGGAGCAGGCAGATCTTTGCATGGTTTGGTAACCACAGGCACTCCAGCGAACCATTCTGCTTTAATAAGGTGCTGCGTATCTGTGGGCGAGGGTCAGCAGTGCTGCACGGATGGGGCTAGCCTGTTTGACACTGAAAAGCAACCAGGGAACAAGTTGGTACAAACACTCTCCCCCTCCACACCCGCAAGCATCAGACACTTCTGCCTGGAGGAATGGGTGTACCGCAGGCAGTAAAAAGATGCTGAGCAAAAGCCTGGGCAAGGCTGGGTTAAGTGTATTCTCAGATGAACCAGGAGTTTGGTATAAAACAGTAGCACCAGCGGCAGAGCTTGAGCGCTGCAGCCCCTGCCCCGCAACTGGATCCAGACTGCAAATCAATGAGCGTCCCGCCTCTCCCTGCCCCTTCCCTTAGTACAAACCCCCTTCCCTGCCTAATCGCTTTGCTGGCCAAAGCCATGCCTGTCTGCAGCACCGCGATGCTCCCAGGGTCCAGAGAGAGACACACACATGCTCATGTTTCTCTCCAATTACAGCTTTTATTTTTTAAATGCTAAGCATTTTGACCCCTCTGGCAAAGGACATGCGTCAGGGGAAGGAGTGTTGTAGTGGTCCAGCGGTCGTACAGAGGTTGGTAGCCAAGTCGCTAAAACGGAGCATTTCACGCTGCTCCTGTTATGTTTCCTTCAGGGCAAGAGGGGTTAAGAGCTGATTTATACAAAGAGAAAAGAAGAGAAGAAGAGGCGGACCAAGTCCAGACAAAAGACCAAGTCCTCAGGCTACAAGGCTGTTCGAAGCATTGCAGAAGCCGAGGACAGTGCAAAGGGGGCTATTGATCCCGTAGAGGGTTGACTGTCTAGCTGGTTAAATATTGCCATTAATAAAGACAGTCCTGCATGTTGTTAGTTAATAGGTGCGACGTTCCCTCAGTCTCCCTTGCGTGCATGCAGATCTCTATCGGTTAAAAAAAGTCAAATGGCTGGGGTTTTTTTAGGAGGGGGAGCATATGTGAGCCGACTGGGTGCAAGGTATGTGCTTAGAGGGTGGCGTGAACTAGCTGCGTCGCACCGTGTCGTGGAATCGATGAGCGTTGTCCTTTCGGGCGTCCGCTGTTCCTGACGAACCTTGACTTCCCCACGCTTGCAAAACGGTCAAAATGATGTGACTCTGTTGGATTTCCTCCTAGCGGTAGTTTGTAAACCATCCTTTCTTGACCCTGCCTTTGACTAGCTCTTGGTCTGGGTGTGTGATTGGCCACCCAAGTCACCTGGTATCTGTGTGTTTGAGCCCTGACTGGATGTCTGCGCCGTGTAGAAACGGGGCGGGAGGGGGAGAGAAATCGGAGAGCTTTCAAAATGGCTGCCAAAGCACATCTGGCGCACAACTGCGGAGCACAACGGGAGCGCTTGTGAGATCCTTGGTGCCCGTGAATGTCACCGAGCGTGAAACCTCCCCGTTCTTCCCGGTCTGTCTGCAGATGCATGCTTGCCAGTATTTCTTTCTTTCGCTTGCGGCTCTTGGCATCGCCCTTTCAACCCAGCGTAGGCTCGCAATGCAGATGCTGGGTGCTCCCTTCCATAAACCATCACTGCGGTAATGGACTCATTAATAATTGTCACCCTGACCACCTCCAGGGAAATCCGTACGCTCTCAGTTAACATATCTGCGGCTACTTTTGCCAAATGGGAATCTATTATGTTCTCACCTCATCCATAGGAATGAGTCCCTTGATGGAGGCACTTTGCCGTACCACAATATCCAGAGATTGCTGAATATTCATTATATTTGACTTCTGCAAGTGCCTCTCCAGCATATGGTCATGGAGCCAGAATGCTTTATTAGAGCAATGCCTTTTTCTTTCCCAATGAAGACGATGCGGTTTTTACTGCCTGCTCAGTTCGTTGCTGCTCTGGGCTCCTTCCCTATTGTGCGCAAGCCTTTTTTTTTTTTTTCCTTTAAAGGGGAACAGAAGAAAGAGGGGGAGGAAAAAATCCCAATTAGCTCCAGTGCTTCAACTCGGTGAATGTAAGATTTACTGTCCTGCTAGTCTGCTTGGAAGATTGATGAGGGAGTCCAGCCTCTGAACTTTGTTTCAAAGAGGAGGTTATTATAATAAATATAAAGCAGGCAACTATGTTTCCTGGTGCAGGGAAAGGCAGGCGCTCCATTTGCATCTTTTTCATAGGGAGAGGAAGGCATCGTTCCTCGGAGACCTTATGCAAGCCTGCCTTCAAAATGGCGGCGGGCAGGGGCGCTCGCTATCAGTGTTAAAATGATGTATGGTTTTTTGTTTGATTGCTTGTTCTGCAATTAAAAATAATCCTGTGGTCGCTCTGCTGTGTGTGTGCCAGCACCCTGGCTTAGGGGCCTAAACCCAGGTTCGGAGCACACTATGGGTCCCAAATGTGTGGCGCTAGTTCCAGCCTCGTGCACTGTGAACGCTTCGTCTTGTGCGTCCCATCCTGGTGTGTTGGCTGCCCTTCATGTGTGCAGAGATACCCCATCTCCTCGATGGAGCAATGGGCTCAAGCTGCAGCAAGGGAAGTTGAGGTTGGATATTAGGAACAACTTTCTCCCTAGGAGGGTGGTGAAGAACTGGGACAGGTTACCCAGAGAGGTAGTGCAGTCTCCATCCTGGGAGGTGTTTAAGACCCGGGTGGACAAAGCCTTGTCTGGGATGATGCAGTTGGGGCTGGTCCTGCTTGGAGCAGGGGGTTGCACTAGATGAGACCTCCTGAAGTCTTTCCATACCTCAATTTCTAGATGCTACCTCTCGTGCTTGCTCTGACCGTTGCACGTGCCACCATAGTGTGCATGTTTCCTTGGGCACTTAGCTCTCCTTGCTTCCACGCAGATATCTCTGGAGACAAGGTTCTTTGGGTAAATGTGGTATCTTTTATTAGACCAACTAAATAGTTGGAAATTACCCAAGAACCTTGTCGGCCCTTGTCCTTAGACCCACACGCCTACAACCAACACCCCCAGTATCTCTGGAGTGCATTTGTGCATTAGTGAGGGTGGGGAGGAGGGATGGGTAAGCACTTCTTAAAGATCAGCGGGGTGCAAAGGATGATAGTCTATCCTCTACAGAGGCAGCTTAGTGCCACGATTCAAGTTCTCCCTTCAGTCTTGCTGGGCCTCTAGACAGAGGGGAGGTGTGCCCCAAAAACAGAAGTAGAGAGGCAGCAGTAATTATTCCAATCAGAACTGTGCCTCTCTCCATGGGGTTAAATAAACACAATTAAACAGATGTCCAAATAGCTGTGGTGGTGTTTTTTAAAAGCCCACGTGAACTCGCAAAACCCCGCTTCCAGCAAATGTTTTTAATACCCAGCATTGTTGCAGGATCGCAAGAATGTAAAATCAGCATGGAAGGAAGCGGCGTCTTCTGGGAGCCATTTGGACGGAAGAAGCTGTATGGAGGTAGGCAATTTATTTTTAAGATTAGCAAATTAGCTGCCCAAAATGCAAGTTCGGTCGTCTTGATACCGTTTGCAAACGCCACTCCAGTTTGTCTGCGCTGGAAATTTTCTTGGGGAGAGGGGTCAGGTTCACTGAATTGGAGCTTGTGTTGTCCTCCTCTTAATAGCTCCAGGGATAGATCACACTCGTTGCGTGTGTGTGTGAAGCACTTCTGTTGGAGTTGTTCCACTTGGCATGAAACACGTCTGTATCTATGGGTGCTGCAAGAAGGGGAGGGGGTTCTGTTGCTTGGTATTTGGTAGATGGGAGCGTACCCCTTCCTAGAGTACCCTACAGCTTGGAGGCTTGAGCATCTTTGGAGAAGGGAGATGCAGGTTCCAATTTCCTTGGGCCCAAGGAGGACTCGAATCCAGATTTGGTATCACATGTTCAAGCAACTTAACACTGATAAGTGCAGTTAAAACATGAGCAGGCACGTATGAAAGCAGTTTAGCATCTGCTAAATGCCTTGCAAAGCAAGGCCAGGGTTGTCTTTTAACAGGTACTAACTTTAATAGATCACTCCCTTCCCATGTTCTGCAACAGTTGCTTGAAATGCCACCCTAGGTCTTTCACCTCTTGGGAAAGTGCTTTAACCCCTGAGCTACAGGGTAAAAGGGAATAGTGGTATGACCTTATGGGATCACATGTATTTTTTTTTGTACCTCTCTGCCTCACGTGAGTAGGTTCAGCTATATCGTCTATTCTGTATTGTCCGCTGTTGTGTGAATTGATGTCTCGTGGATCCTTTCTGCACACTCGTACGCACCCGAAGCTTTCCCTGTAACATTTGCTTAGACTCTGAAAACTTTCATCTTACGCAGCCGCAAAGGCGCGATGGCACTGATCAAAGCCTTTTTTTACCAAGCTGTCGGATAATTAGATTTGGCATTTTGCTCTCTCTAGTTCTGAAGCTGGTATTTTCTTCCCTCCTTTCTCAATGATGATTTAGAGCAGCAACAAACACAGAAACAAGGCAGTGGAAATGTTTAATGTCTTGGCAACTCTGCTGAGTTCCCATCAAGCAAGGTGTCATGCATGAGCAGAGATGCAATCCTGGCAGGCGGGCGGGCGGGGGAAAGCCCAGGCAGGATGGTGATCTCCACATAGGGATATGAGGTGGTGAACAAATCAGGCTAGCCGCTCTGTTGGCATAAGTCAGTGAACTTGGTCGAAGTTGCCTCTAGCACTGCTTTGGTTTACACCCGCTCAGGATGCAGCCCAATAAGCATCATTTTCAAACACTCGACGCTATTCAGAGATCAAACACGGCACACTTCAGTCTCCTGTATTTTACTGTCTCTTCTCTATGGCGTCAGAGCGGTCCATACACACATCCTTAGGCAGCAGGACCCGTGGTTGGAAAAGCAAACCAAGTCCTTGTGGTTTCTTGTATCCTTCCCAGCACTGCAACCTGCGGTAGCCGAACTCAACTGGCAAGGGCCAGGCACAGATTGTCATATGGCACCCGTCGCATGATGACTAACAGCAATTAATTGTTTTTAAAACCCCCCCCTCACTTTGTCTGAAATGTTTTGCTTTGCTTTGTTGCATGCGAGCAGATTCCCACGGTCTGACGGTAGCGCCCAACGCCCATGGTCATGTCCCCGCACAGCTGCGGCCTGTCCAAAATACGCAGCTTTGTTTGCTTCTGTGACTATTTTTTTACAGATGGCTGCTGGAGGGCTGCACGGTTTTATTCGGTTCAGATTTAATCCTGAAGCGATTCTGTGGAGATGAATGATTGTGGAAACTCCTGTCTTGTCCTGCCTTCGTTCACAGTTGAAATGAGGTGGAGGAGGCTCAGGCTAGGGAAGCTCTGGGAGGACAGAACAAGAATGCCACGCGCGGTGGTCCAGGGATGTGTTTGGTCTGAGACAAAAAAGAAATGCCAAACTCTAAAACTCTTGGTTCAGAGATGATACCTTTTATTAGACCAACTAAGAAATCGCAAACTAATTATCTTTCTTTGCAAGCTCTCGGGGTGGTTGGCTCTTTTAAGTGCCGGAGAGGTCTGCAACTGGAAGAGCAGGGGCTGTTGCAAGTCAGACGGGAGGTACACAGCCGGTTTGTGTGGTCCCGACCTTGCTTGGATATACTAGCCTCTCTTTAGGACTGATGCTAAGATCCTCGCTCGCTCTCGCGCCCAGCCAAAATCTCCTTCTTCACTTCCAGTTTATCCCCATCCTCGCCACCTCTGCTTTCCCCAGTGGGATGATACAGGATATTCTTGGTGCTCTGGATATTGTGCCTTGTAGTTGCATGTGAGGGTTTGAAGGGGGGATTTTGGGGACCCCTTGGGTCAGCGGTTGCCTGGGAGGCCCCTTGCAGCCCTGCCTTGCTGTGCGTCTGGATCAGCCATGCTAGGATAACAGCCTGTTACTGCTGCTGGTGAATGGAGCTGTTCCCCTAGTTCAAGAGCTTCGGCACTGTGTTTTGGCAAGGTTTGAACTGGGATGACTTGTGGAGGAGTTGGACCCGTTTCTCACCCGGCCCTGGGCTTCCCAAGCAGTGAATCCAGGCCTCCCGCACTACATAGCCCTCCCCGCCGGGCCAGGCCTGTAATTCTGTGATTGGCATATCGCTAATAGGGGATTAGGGCTTCAAATGCGAATAGGCAGCAGGAGCAGATGAGCTCTTAATGACAAAGAGCCTCTTTTCATGCAAATGTCCTTAGCAATAAGGAAGGAGGAGAGAGCCTCTCTGCCAGCTCCTGCCCCTGGCAAGTGCGGGGAAGTGGCAGCAAATTGTTTCTAGATAAAATAGGGGTTTTCCCCCTCAACCATGCATTGTCTTCCCTTTAAAGGAGACAACAGGAGCTTTCCCTAGGATCCTATTCATGGGAGGGAAAGTCAAAGGAACTGGATAAAACTGAGGGGCCTCTTGATAACCTCCCCTGGCTTTCCTGAAGCAGTGGTCGGCTTGTTGACTCCTTTCCTGCGAGCGGAGCAGGACTGTGGAAAGTGCAGTGTGAACCTGCCCAAATCCATAACCGTAATGGCAGAACTGGGGGCAGGAGAATTGGATTAAAAGGCAGCTTTCATTGCAAGGGAGTCAGAATAGCACCCCCGCCTTCCAACAGTAGTAGTAATAATGGCATTGCTGCTGTTGCTTTTAAAGATGACCAAAAAAAAAAATTAAATAAATTAAATAAAATAAATAAAAAAGCAAATGAGCTGCAGAGCATAGGAGCGAAGCCGCCCTCGATGATGCCAGTGCTGCTGACAGATACTTTACAGCCCCGTGCGACTGGCTTGCACTGGCGCTCGGGGAGCCCTGGGTGTTAAGCACGCGTGAGGTGGCATCTAGGGCATGTCATGTCTTGAGTGGGAAGGTCTGTGGCAGAAGAGAAATGAAAGCTGTCGGGAAGCAGATTGGTTTCGAAGCCAAGCGCGTGGTGTCGCTCGTGGAGCTGGTCCTGCCTTCGCCACTTCTTTCTGGCTGGGTGTAACTGGGCTTCTGAGCGTTGGCTGAACCCCAGGCCAGCACTGAAGCATTGGGCCAAATCCCTGTATGTGCAAAAGGGAGGAAAACAACATCCCATCCAGTCCTGGGCTCCACTACTGGCTTCTCTGCCTCCATCCATCCCCAGCCGGGAGCCTTTGACACAGGTAGTTACTCCTACTGTTGCAATGCAGCCCTGGATTTAGGAAGGCAGGAGGATTCTTCTCTGAAGGGTTATCTGTGCTCTGTCTACAACCGTGTTTGGGGCAAGGCAAGGAGAGGAGCACAGCATCATTTCCACAACCTCAGCTGGAGTCCAGGAGCTCGGCCCTCCCTCCCAAGCAAAGGACCTCCATTTACTTTGCAGAGCGCATCCCCAGCTGCTAAACTATTGGCTTGGCTTTTCTTCACGCGCCTTGCAATACAGCCCGCAGGCTCCATTGCAAAAAAATATTGGCACCGTTGTTGCACAGAAACCTTCATCCAGCTTGGCAACGGCTCCAAAATAAACCTCAGCCATTCAGTTGACGGAGAAAAACAAGAGTTTGCACAGCAGCGGCAGACGATAATCTGGTCAGGTGTTCCGCGCAAGCCGAGTGTTTTGATCAAAATCAGGTTTGGGGTGGGGAGAAGGAGGGGCGGATGTTTTCAGGGCTGCAGCGGCTGATTCGGAGAGAACAGACATTCCTGTTCAGAAGGCAAATTGTCATGAATCCCAAATTGCTGGTGAATGGTAATTTTTCTGCGGTACGGCTACAATGCCTCCCGGTACCGCCGGCTTTGGAGACGCTGAAAGCGCGCTGGCCAGGCTGGGCGTGCTCGCTTACTGCAGGACTCTGGCACGAGGCAAGGTCTCAGCCCGGTTGTCCTGAAGGCAGTACCGCTACATAAGTCTTAACTACTACTACTACGGATAAACCTTCCACGCTGGCCTTCTCTTCATGGGGTGATTTTCACCCTAGGAAAACTTTTAACGAGCAGCTCAGAGTTTTTGGTTGGTGTGCTTGAAATGCTGCCAGTAGACAGATCAGAGCTTCAGTAAAATGCACAGGCTGAGAGCTTCAATGCCGCTGGTTCCCAGGGGTATCCAAATCCCCTAGGCACCTTTGACAATCTCAGCCTTCATTATTGTCAGTAAACACTCGGCAACTGGGAGCCGGTGAGTGCGACTAGGAGGAGCTGGCGCTGATCCAAGGCATTTATATGCTGCCTTAGTGCTGTAGTAACTAAATACTTCCAGATCTGTAATATCTCACTTGGTTTTATCTCGCAGAGCGGTGAAGAAACGTGGCCCAAGGTCAGGCAGGACTTCTGTGGCTGCTTCAATTTGAAACCACCTCTCTTGAGTTCCCCAACCCTGCCTTCCACTCTGGATAGGATAGGAACAGGCAGCGCACTTGTGTCAGAGCAACCTGTGCATGCATTTGTCCCAGAGCAGGTGTATCCCGAGTTTGACATGCACACATCGCCCTTTTAATCGAGGCTTAGCGAGCCGCTGAATGCAGGGTGGCTTCTCC